CAATCAAAGCTTGGACTTGTACCAACAAACAAAGAATTATCAATACTGACAAATTTATCAGAAGTCTGGTGACTGAGTGCATGTGGTGCATAGACCATTGGCATGACACTTGCGTAGTTATCAACAAGCACTAAATTAGACATCATAACACTGCACTGAGGATGAAACCAAACTCCAAAGTCATAGCTTCGATAGACAAGGAAGTTGGAGATCTTGGAACATCCCGTCAGGCCATCACTGTAGTACATATGGATACCATGTAGAGTTGTATGCGCTACATTGCCTTCCCATTTGTTTTCAGGATCTGGTTCAGAGTAGCATGGCTCACCAGAAATTTTGAATCCAATTCGCTCTGAGCCACCAACAGCGTTGTTTTTCATGACTACCCTCATTGCCTTGTTTACTTCAATACCACCCATCCATATAAGATTCACAGGCTCAAATCTATCTTGATATGTACCAGGAAATATTGTTAAAGTTACCAAATTATGTTCTAAGCGATTCTCACTGCCAGCAACGATGATACCTACAATAACAGTCATATATTCATAGCTATTAGCTTGTTGATGGGATGAAGAAGAAAAAGAAAACTGGTGTAAACTGAGGCAAAACAAAACAGCATATCTACCTGCACCAACAGTATGGTGTATGACATTGTTTTCTATATTCAGTCCATTCGTTGTATACACACCAATACCAGTATTGAAACCATGATGGAAACTATTGCCTCGAATGTAGGATGAATTCTGGATTATATCACCAACATCTCGGAATGCCAAGGCATACCTTGGATCAGAGTAATCAGGCCAACCTTCTTGACCACAATTCTTAAATTCCACATTTTCAATTCTGCCATTCCCTACAAAGATGATAATGATAAGACACTATCAGCACTATTAAATCAGATATTTAAACAGGTATAGTCAGTCTGAGAATGTGAGTGATTTCGTTCAAATCAGAAAAATATTGTTTCATCTAGAAGCCACTGGACCACGTTGTGTTTCATATGATAATAGTAATAATAATAATCTATTACACCATAATGAATCGATTCAATTTAGGCAGGATTGTAATAAAATATGCTTAGCATATTAAAAAATCATTGTTTCTGAATTAACATGAATTCAATGCGTGTTGTGTGGTGGTGGTACCAAATTTAAATAAAATTGTAAAAGTTTATATAAGCGAACAGAACAAACTAAATGATCGCCTAGCGATGAAACTGTTAAACACCATGAAATATATGTTAATACCAAGTTTGAATAAAAACATTGTTGATGACATATTCAAATGTTAATTAATTCTGGGTGATTTTAGGGCAAAAAAAACCCACCAGTCACTCAAAGGTCACAAATCCATGTACATATGTTTCTATGACTTGTCTTTTCACCAACTTTGAACAAAAATAGTTCAGTCATGTTCCGGAAAATGACAATGAACCCATGAATGCATGCACGAATGGACAGACTGATGGACTCAACCCACAACATAAATTCCCATGTTGGACTTTTGGATTGACAGAAACTAAAAACAACTTGCATATAATTTTATGGTTATTCAACTTACCCACATAATTCACACCTTCTTGTATAAACCTCCCAATGAAAACCCGACAACCAAATGACTCATCCGATAGAGTACCAGCTGGGTTATCTGCACCTTCTATCACAATATTATGTGATAATAATCCTACTTCAGCTGCTAGTGTGTAGGACCAGGATCCATCTGCAAGAGTATGACTTACACCTAGTAGAGAAACAAATAGAGTGTAGAGTTATCAATGAAATCTGTTTGCACTCACCAAGATGTGTGTACTGCAAACTGTTATAAT